ATTAAAAAAAGGGAAAACAAAACAAAGACAAAAATACCCACCTCTGTTTTATCTCCTTCATCTTGGTAGATCATGCAACACAAAAACAAATTATTTTTTTGTGCATAGAAAAGAATAAACAGATTTTAATTTAGATTGAGTTATATATATCATGTTCTTTCATTCTCACCATCACTGTCGTCTAATGCCTGTGTTGAAATATTTGTTGTAGCATCATTAATTCTGGTGGTTTCGCCAATGGTTCCCATTACTTGATTATCTTCATCTTTATGGTAATCTATTATAATTTATGATAATTTATGATGATTTATGATAATTTATGATAATTACAATCCACTGTTTTAGACTGAAAGTTAGGACAGACTTTGTGCAAAATTAAACGCACTAGATTAAAATACCTTGAAAGTTGAATTCATTTTTATGTACCACATTAAGTTCCTCTTCTTCATCATCATCCATCTTTAGAATTAAACAAAAAATGAGTAAATGCATACATGTGGGACTCAGGGATTAGCACTAGTTTGAGGCTCAGGAATCACATCTTTGTCAAAATTGTCGCAAGTTTGGGGAACAAGGATCAGACTTTTAGCACTRAACATCGACAATCACTTAGAAAACTAAGCTTATTCTGGGACAATGTCAATAACAACTTTACCTACAAATATTAACTACCGCCATCAGACCAACACATCGAAAATTTATAAGAAACTTGATTTATAATGAATCGAACATTTGGCAAAAGAAACTCGCGGGAAGAGCCAACAAAAAAATAAATCGACATTTTTACCAAATTTGAGTACAAAAACGTTATCAAAATCAAAACTCAAACAGCACTTTTATTCTATATCTATAAAACTCAACATTAAGTTCAGATATACTTCAAATCTAAAGTGTTTCTTACCGAAATATCAAGAAGTCCTTTCTTTTCCACGTCGTCCGCCATTATTGCTGTTTTGCGTACAGCGCATGCACAAGGAGTCCAAACACAGGGAGTCCAAAAMTCCGAAAACCTCGTGAAGTCGGCTAGTTGGGAAAATTGAGAAAAACAGGATATTTTCAATTTCATTGATATTTTGATATTCAGTAAGTATGTAAGTAAGTAAAGACTTTATTTAAAGAGGGTAAAAACACATAATAGTATATACATACTAATAAACTTGTGGCCCTCTATACTAAAACTATATAACTATATACAGCCTTTTGCAAAAATTATGAGAATTGTCTAAATATCTAAATATCATAATATCCATATCCATATATTGTACGGAACATGCGGGTTTGCTAGAATAATTCATTGTTGACATCGAGAAAATGTTCAGAACTACGGATAAGTCTGTCGCCAAAAAAAACTAAACAACAAAGACAAGGGACTAAGGGCATCGCGCTGGATCATGCACTTGATATTATGATATTTAGATATTTCAACAATTCTCATAATTTTTGCAAAAGGCTGTAATAATGTTAAAAATACATATATATATATACACATAACTATTTGCAATTTATAATACTAAGTAGAAACAAATAATTAATACTGAAGTAGATAAAAAATAAATAAATGAATAAACTAATAAACTAAAAGAATAAAAATTATAAGAAATAATATTATGGACAAAAATGGCGCAAAACTTTCTGGCCAGCTAAAAACTGTTTCCTAATACTTTTTCTAAGGGCCATTACAGAAGAGCTTTTCCGGATACTTAATAGGTAGCGAATTCCAAAGTGTAGTCGTGGTTACGCTAAATGTGCTTCCACCTTCCGTTTTAATTTTCTTTTAAAACGGGGACAAATAAAATTAAGATTACAATATCGTGTTGTCCTTGAATGTCTTTCGCTATTTAAAGTTAATATCTCCGATATGTACTGCGGAACTTCATTATTTATTCTCTTAAAAGCTAACGAACATTTCGCAATTTCGCATTCTTGATARTAAGGTAACCAATTAAGTCTATTAAAAAGAGGGACTGATGGTGACCATGGTCCCGCATCCAAAATGATTCGCGCTGCTCTTTTCTGCAAGCGTAAAAGTCTAATTACGTTTTCCTTACTGGTACGTACAAGCCATGCAGCATTCACATAATTAAAAATTGGCCTAATTAATGAATTGTAAAATAATATGCGCTGGCTTAAAGGAAGATTAATCTTGATCTTGTTAAGAATGCCAATCCGACTAGTTAGTTTTTTACAAATGCTATCAACATGAGTAGAGAAACTAAGCTCACTATCTATCTCTAGACCAAGAACTTTGGCCGAGGGTTCTTGTATAAGAGAGTGTCCACTCGAGGTTTGCACCCCAAGTTCTCTACTAGAGTGTTCGAGCTTGTCATGCAGCCGCTTGCCAGTGATGAGCAAGGTTTTAGTCTTCTTTTCGTTGAGCGGGAGTTTGTTTGCATTTGCCCAATGCTCCACCTCGTGTAACGCGTTAGTAAGAGTCAGATTGAGGCCATCGCACTTGGTGATATCCGCGGAAGCCGTCAGTGTAGTATCATCTGCATAAAGCTCTAGGTGAACATCACCACAGGACTGCGTGTGTAGGGGAAGATCGTTAATGAATACAACAAACAGGAGCGGACCGAGTATACTCCCCTGGGGAATGCCGTGGGGGACGATTGCGCAATCTGAGGCATGACCATCGACCAATACCATCTGCTGTCTTTCACTTAAGTAGGATCTGAACCACTTCTCAGTGTCACCACACATACCGTAAATCCTCAACTTCTCCAGGAGAACGGGATGATCAACCATATCAAACGCCTTACAGTAATCGATTAGTACCATACCAGTGACCCGATTGTTGTCGAGATTGAATAGCAACTTAGAGAAGTCTCTGTACTGTGATACTCGCGGAAACCTGATTGTCACAATTTTCTACTTCCGTTTCACTTTGTTGTTCATTTACTATAAGTTACTCATGTTCCAAGAATTCAAACTCCACAAATTGAATTATCAAAGACTGTACTTTAWTACAAATTATTGCTAGTTTTAATTCCGTATAGAAAATTGAAAACTCGCTTTATTGATAGTTTGTTGACATCTTTGTCGAGTTTTGCATCACATGATACTTGTGAATGCATTTTTGTGACGAAAGGCCTTATGGGGCCTCTCCCAAGCCATCCACTTGTAGCAGGCGTTCCTTGTAATTTCTTGATATGTTAAGTTGAAAAGAGAAAATAAATGCTTGTTTCAGTTGTTTGCGTCCGAATCCCAATGTACTCGATGAATATGGCGGCTTTCACCGAGCTGTTCGATTGTCGTTATTGTTTTCCAATTCATCATTCATTACTAGTATTGAAGTAAACAGCACWACAAAATCTCTTGAAATTCTTAACGTTAGTGGTTAAAACCAGGCAGATACTAGTTGCCAACGATTTGCCCGAATTCAATCAACGGAACACAATTGAGGCCAATAGAATGAGCCTATTTGGTCACATTCATGGACCTTTACATGTATATCTGATAAAACACTCCTTATTAGTATACTTTATATAAAGAATACTGATAAGGGTGACCTTTATCAGWTATAAAGGTCCATGACCCTAGCAAAGGTCTCAGGTTTGAAACCTGATCATTGACCAATGCAGGATGTCAACCGATTTCTGTGAACAGCCAAGAGCACTTCTATTTGACTTTATGCGTATTCAATGTGGGATGACAAGAGTGCTTTGTAAAGTGATTCGCACATGTTCAGTTTGCCCCATTTATCTCTGAACATATTTGTABRGCAATTTCTCCAAGAATTTTAACGGATTTGAGTTTCAAATTAGTGTTGGAGTTTTTTAAGCCGTTTAAAACACTCGAGATCGTGTTTTATCAGGTAGTAAAGATTCGAGCCGAAGATAAAACACACTCTCTCGTGTTTTAAACTATACATAAAACCCCATTGTTTTGGCTTCTTAATCTCTTTTAATCTCTAATCTCTTTTCTACTCAGTTGAACAGGCTCACTGGAAATCAATAGGAAATATTCATAATGCTATATTTCGTACTTTGGCTGCGCGCATGTCATTCGCTCCGGTAACTTTTTGCTGACAGTTATTAGAATCAACACCGGTTTCAACATTTAATCGTATTTACTGCCTAAAATTTAAAATTGAGCTCCCACGGTTTGAATTCCCCATTAAACTAGACTTAATCTTAATTGATTCGCATTAATTACCTAAAATTGTTATCCATACACATAGAATATTAATCTAAATTATCACATAGAGCGTCACAAATTTAGGAATTATTTTATCCAGCGCATCTGGGCCACATGCTCTAGTATAAAGGGGCGCGGAATTTCTCATTCAAATAAATCTATAAATTTCGAGCTATCGTAGATCGAGGTACCACTGCAGTCGTAGAATGGAGCCTTGGAAGTCAACTATTCTAGTAATACTTGGGGTAAGTAAACTTTTGTTATGTTTTTCACTTAGAGTTTTTTTTGACGGTTCGATCCAAATGACTGTTTAGTAGATGTTTAATTGTTGGTATAATATAGGAGTCAGAATGTAATGGTCTGTAACTCCAACTTGTAAGTCTTACACATATCGTTCACAATCTGCACAAATAAAAACGACTCCAAAATCATCGTAAATAAATAACATACAATTCGTTTTTTTAGGCATAAAATAAATAAGACATACGTTTACAGTTATTAAGTTTTTTTCGTAGAATTTACAATCATATTTCTTTTGTGTTTTCAATTTATCATGATTTATTCTAAACGCAGAGGATTCTTTCATCTTTATTCAGTTATGCCTGCGTAAAAAAAATTTTAAATATTCCAAGCTTGTTTCCTTGCTATATGATTACAGCTGTTCTTAAAGAAAGAAAGAAAAAAAAAAGAAGGAAATAATGAACTAGGGCAATTAGTGTGTCATTCACACTCTTTTCAGTTCAATTCTTCAATTAAAACAATGGCGACAACATTAATTTYAATACAAAAACATGTTTTCTTTAATTCCAGGTGTGTTTGAACAGCGCTGCGTTAAGTCGCAACGAAGACGAGACACTCCAAGAACTAAAAATGAGTAATTCTGACCTATGTGAGAGGCCACCAAAAAGACTGTATGAGAGGCCACCAAAAAGACTGTATGAGGGGCCACTACAAAGACTGTACGTTAAGTCTACTGACATATCGAAAAAATGGGCGAAAACGATTTATGAAAACAACAAGAATCATCCCTGCGCAGACATCAAGCACGAAACGGACAGAAAAACTGGTCAACAATATTTCATAATGCGATGCAAATATATTGTGGACCACGGCTGCAGATTCACTTTCAATCGACCAGCTTGTGTGGAGAATATAAGTTCAATAGCTGGAAAAACAGTTTTGACTGGATGTGAGTGCACGCGCAAACTGTGAAACGACAACAATGAATTCCTGTGATGGTTGAATATTATTTAATCTCAAAACACATAAAGTAGAATAAGGAAATTAGAGTAAGGTAAAGTCTGAAGTGCCGAATTCAATATTTATTCCAATGATATCATCCCAGTTGAACTGAACTGGTCACATGTAAGAATCGATGTTTAAAACGCACTTTTCTGATTAGTTAATAAAGTTTCACGAGTTTTTAAAATGTGCGTTTCACGAGTTTCACAAAAAGTGCAATTTTGATCTAATAAAAAAAAATTGTTCAAAATATTTTCTTTGCAAGGGCGTGCACAAGGTCTTCATGAGCGGYTTCCAGCCTTGGATTAACACCATACAAGCTGTTGGACTATCCGTAAATTTCAAAAATAATGTCTCATGTTGCAAAGACTTGGAAACCGCTTGCGCAAGCCGGCGATGTGGAAGTGCTAGTTTGTACTATTAGCACCTAGTTGCAGCTATTAGAACGATAATTATTTTATTCTAAGAGACAAATTGGATTGTTGTAGACCATATTCAAGTCAACTTTGTGACCAATCAGATCTCTGATGTTTGAAATACCATATTTTATCATTGTAGGCCTGAAACAAAAATAAATAAATAAATAACCAGATTATAACAATAACTASTTGCGTTTTTAATTCACAATTACAACACAAAACCTTAATGGGTAGAAATCCATTTTCATCTCCATTTTTTTMGGGATTAATATCCATTTTTCCAGAGCAAATAACTGACCTTTCTAGAGAAAGTCCCCATGCAATCACAGATACATCTTCGGGAAGACCCATTGGTCGTAACATTTCTGGTCTGAAGACTCCAGAATTGCCAACTTCAACCCATTTCTTTAGACCTGAAATAACAGTGAAGATCAAATGAATGGCTATAAATACGGCCTGGATAATGGTAATTGTTGGTTAGTCTTCCTTGAAATACTCCAATTTTCATATAAATCTAGTTTATAGTTGAGAAGAAACGACATAATAGTGTTCTGTTAGCTATGAGGGAGATTATCCTACAGTTCGTTACATAACAGACTAAAAGTTCAACATACGAAGCCCAATACTACCTTCATGATAGCTGAACACTTCCATGCTAGGTTCTGTGTAGGGATTGAAGGCTGGCTTGAAGCGCAATTTCTTGATTCCTACCAATCCATCAACAATGAAATCATCAGTCAAACAAGAAAAGAAAACGCATATTTGATTGTCATACGTACAATACTATAGTAAGTCAATAATCAAATGAATGACACAGTGGATAATTATATTAAATTCATTCAGAAATAGCTCAAATTAAACAATCAAGCCATTTTACCAAGTTTTTTAAAGAATTCATACAAAGTCCCAATCAGGTCCCCGAGTGTCAGGTTACGATCTGCAACCAATCCTTCAATTTGATGAAATTCAGCAAGATGGGTGGCATCGAGAGTCTCGTTTCTGAATACTCTATCAATTGAGAAAAACTTGGCTGGGGTGAAGGTTTCCTTTAARATAAAAACATAGTATRTCAAGACACATTGTGAAATTTCAATGTTTAACTTCTCGTTTGGTCAACATATTAGGGAACAATGAAAATAGTGTGGTTTATGTTTAATGACGGAGCTTCCACATTATAATATAAAGKGCCCTGGATGTGTACCTGTTGTGCTAGTTTGTAAAGCATTCTTGAACTAACAGCAGTAGTGTGAGTGCGGAGGATATTCTTYTTGGCTTCTTCAAGTTTCCAGTCATATTGGTATCTAAATTTAATTTTAATAGAGTCCACAATTAGACATTTTTATTCAGCTATATTATATCGCAATAACAATTTTCATTACCCTTGTGATCCATATCCACCATGTTCATGAGTTCTCTTGACAGCTTCAATGTAAGACTGTGGCATTTCTTCTAATTTTGAAACTGCTGGATCTGTTTAGAAAAACAATGACAAAAAAAAATATTAAATTCCACTACGGGTTTACATAGACATGGGTTTTTGCTGTATTTTCAACGCCTTATATACCTGATAAGAAGAAAGTGTCATGTGCGTCCCTTGCTGGATGTTGTTGTGGTTGAAACAAAGTGTCAAAATTCCAGAAAGAACTCTCTACAAAGTTGTTRGTAGGCATTTCTGTGAACCTKTTTATTTTTAAAACAGAATTAAAAATAAATTTAATTAATACACAACAAATATTATGATCGACCTATCAATCAATCATTAATCAGGGTCAATCAATGAGTCAATCATTCAATTCAGCAATCAATCAATCCAACAATAAATTTTTCTCAGAAAATACTTGCCCCATTTCTAAGAAGATCTGCCTAAACTGTGATCTGACTTTCATCAGTGGGTGGAGATGACCAGATGGCAGACTTGCACCCAAAGCATCAAAGTTATATGGCTTGAAAGTCAACTCCTCCCACAAACCACTACATATCAAAATATATAAAACATAATTATAAAACACTAAGAATGTTTTGTACAAAATTATAAATAGTTAGAACAGAGCAATAAATATTATAATAGAAGTGTACCTTAGCAACAGGTCAGCAGTTAGATCAGCCTCAAGTCTTTTCACTGATAAACTGAAGTCTTTTCCTTTTGTAACAGTGAAGCTTTTGATTATTCTGAAAAGAGAATGAATTTTCTTCTTCGTTATATTAGGTATGCAACCTTTCATTTAGCAGTTTCTTTCCATAAGTTCAAAAACCTTCTAGTTTTTATGCAAAGTATGGCTACAATTCAAAATGTTATAGGGAGGAAAATACAGAATAGGAATAGGAACGGTCAGTGAAAGAGTAATGAATTAACACTTTTATTATGAAAGTCTTACTGAGTTGCAACAAGCTTTCTTTTCTTGAGTTCTTTTATCTTTGCATCAGCCATTTCCTTATACTCATTATTTAATATTTTGATCAGTGACTGCTGTACACTGTCTTCGATTGACTCAACCTGAAAAAGACAGAGACATGGATCAGACCATTTGAGAAAAGACAGTTTAGTTGAAATTTCACACATTATACATACAAACAACAACAAAAACATCAAAAACATGTAAAAAATCAATAATAAACTAGCCTTTTTGTAAACTCTTGGTCCTCCTTCAGCACTTTTATCAATTCTTAGCCAACCAGAAGACATTGCTTTACTAAATCCAATAGATGCATTAGGTCCAAGGTTCTACAATCAAAGAAGAAAACCTAGAAATTAGCTAACAGGAAATTGGGATTTGCATGTCTAGAATTGCAGCTTATAAGAATCTGAAACATTTCAGTTTTTATTCTGTGACTAATATACAGTAAGAATTTCAAACAAACCTTTATATCTGCTTGTTTTATGCCTTCTGAAGGGATATCATTRTACAGCAAAGCCTCATGACTTCCCTTGTCAGCGATTAGAACCCCTTCTTCAGTCAAAACTAGATTTTCTTGTTGGCATTGCTCAGTATTAATAATCTGTAACAATAAAAGAGATAATGCACATTGTCTTAATTTACTGTTTTACCTACTGATATACYTTATTTGATTGAAAAAATCTAACTGGTTTTGTCTTAAGATAGTTTCCCTCCCCTCTCATTCTTCCCTCCCCCTTCATTTCATTGCCACAAAATAGCTTTTTTTTAACTGAAAATACATATAATCAAATGAATCAATATTTTATGCAACATTAACCATCGTGAATCTTCATACGAATATATAAGATTAAAAACTCAGGCTCAGGATTGGGCTTGTTGCAAACTAAAAATGAAATTGAAATCGAAAATGAAACATAGAAGTTTCCATTCAAATTTCATTGACGAAAAAATATGGTATAAAAGACGAAGAATGCAGTTAAGGAAGGACACAGAGTACAATGCTGAGTCACCTATTCCTCAAAAAATAAATGGTTAAAATAATCTAGGATTCCAGCAGTCCAAATGTCATGAGAAATGTGTTCAACATGGACCGACCGGCTTCTCACCTCGCCAACAGATTGTATGCTTTTTATAGCGCCTACAATAAGCTGATGATCCTGTTGCAGATCCTTGGCAAATTCATAAGTATTTAGATGACCAGAGTTCGCAATTTCTTCAAGAATCAACTTCTCAAAGTCTATAGATCCCATGTTGARCAGCCTTGAACAATCCCTGTCCCTTTCTATTTCATCAGATTTTTATAGTAAAGGCAGCAACCGCTGGTCAGATAAATACAAAAATTAATTCTCGTATTCAGTAATTTTTTGAGCTACAAAAGAACTGTATCACAATAAAATTCACTTTTTAATATTGAAATACTTCAAAAACGTTTTTCAATATCTTTCTAACCTTCAATACAATGTTTTATGATCGGAAACTTTTATTATTTAGATTTCAGTATGATCCCGAGAAGATTCCGACAATAACAAATCGATACTTCATCGTCATTTCAATATGGCGGGAGTTGGAAGTATTTATACTCTTCATTCGAAAGGCAGTATGATTGAAGGAATCGGCGATGAGGTCCTACTGGGGCTTGTATCTACATTAGTACTAATAGCCATTGTTAGTATCATATTCAGAAATCATGTTGGAATCAGAAACATTCATCCTTTACAAGAGGAACAAGTCCGTCTAGCTCGAGATAGGTTGGGTGTTGGAAGAGAAGATGACAGCGAAGAACACCAATCAGAACACATTTCCGAGCCGCCACGGCCGTTTTCTGTTGAAAGACATTGCCCTGTATGTTTAACGGACGCTAGGTACTTAACAATGACAAATTGTGGTCACGAATTCTGCGGTAAGTGTCCCTAAATACTTTGCGTCATTCGTGTTGTTTTGATTATGTTTTTAATGTGATGACGTCAAGATTGGCTTGAGTTCCCCCAAAATGCTCTTTCTGAAAAAACGCTTTTTGTAGCTCCATGTATTATATCATATTGGCGATATGGTCGCTGGCTTGGAGCTGTACAATGTCCTGTATGCAGGCAAAAGGTATGTAACTCGATGCACTTTGAATTTTTTTGTTACYCCACTAATAAGCTAATGTGTCATTTGTTTGTATCACAGGTCACGATACTTTTCAAGAACTTTTCTCCTGAAGAGAATGAATCAAGTGAATCAGAACAGTGGAAGAGAGAAATTCTTGAATATAACAGAAGGTTTTCAGGGTTGCCAAGATCTGTAAGTACCAATGGAACACCTTTTTTATATTTTTATTTTTCATTTGAAATTTCTTTCCCATTTTCTTTTTTTTCAGCTGATGGATTACATAAGAGACTTCCCGACTCTTCTTCGACAACTCCTAAGTGAATTATTTTCTGTTGGAGGTCTTGTTTGGGTGTTGAGAATGAGAATAATCCTTTGTTTTCTCGCAGCTGCACTATATTTTGTTTCGCCATTGGACATTATACCCGAGTCAGTATTTGGGTTTCTGGGACTACTAGATGACTTTCTGATTGTTTTATTATTRCTGGTTTATGTGACTGAAGCTTAYAGACAATATGTTGCTAACAGAGCGACAGCATAAAATGTTTTTTCATGTTTTAATTMAGCATCRCACAATCTAGATTAGAGTACACAGTGAAACAGCTACTTTTCAGCTGTGTCAACAGTCAATGACACACACCAAGGAACCTTTGCGATTRTTGGTTCRTTTTACAAAYGATCTCTTCATTTAAAATTGCTCTTTGACTGCTTCWAAATCAAAGATGGCAAATTTTCRTATGTGAGGAATTGCGGTTCTTGGTGGTCCTTGAATATGGCATTATTTTGAATGAAATTAATAGTATTATAATCACAATTAGCAGAAAAGAATAAGTTATCAAGGAACATAACCATACTGTACAAGAAATATAGTCTTTTTATTGAAGTAGTTGTTACAGTTGTCAATAATTACAATATATATAATTATGCATTAAATAATATTCCTGTAAGTCTATATACACATAAGTAACAACTGTAACATCCTTAAGCAAAAAGCAGGAATGTAAGTTCCTTGCTCTACCAACACAAACATAATTACTTTTGACCTCCAACAARCTTGAGCATGCTACCATTCATCCTCAAAATCTTCAATAGTTACATCCTCATCTGTGTTTTGATCGACTGCAGGATCTATTTCTTGTGAGTCTTGGTTTTTCACTTGATCAGTAGCTGTCTTTGAGTTGAGCTTTGAGCTGCCATGTTGAGAAAAACTTTCCGAGTCAGTGGGATCATCGTTGGTAGCCATGCCACATTCTTTCTCATCAAGAGTATCTGCAGAGGACCTGTAGAATCGAAAGGAAGCAAGGAAAATATTATAAACACCGATAGCAATTGTGTTGTTTTACCTTTGTTGGTATATTCTTGTGTCATCATAATGCCTTACATAATGACGCCCTCCAGAAGCAAGTGCTTTTAGGCTCGGAGAGTGGAATATGGAAAAAAGTGGAGCATCTTCTTGGCATTGATAAAATACAAGTTAGATGGAAGATGATGGACAGAGATCATTTCTTGGGATTTATTGAGAACAACAGTCCATGAATTTATTGAGAACCCCGGGGCTGCAACGCAGCCGTGTGGGAAACACGATGATGATGGTGATGATGACAGAACAGCAACATATTGCAGCCAGACAGTCTTACCTTGTATTAAACTTGTTCTTCTGATATTGCCCCATTTGTTGAACAAATGATATCTGACCTGGAAATACCAACAAAGAAAACACCATGACAACCTTGCAACCTA